ACCACAATCCTCCTGATCTCTACTTCCAGAATAGCTAGGATTACAGGTGTGAACCACTGATGCCTGGCTAACCTCTTTCCTTTATAAAGTTCTCCTGCCTCAGATAGCTCTTTACAGTAATGAAAAATGGACTAATACATTGAGTATGTACTCTATAGCCCAAAACATTGTGCAAATTATTGGGAATATACAAGGAGCACACAGAATAGATTCTGCCTTCAAAGAGCTGACAGACTTTTAGAGAAGAATTGCCACAAATAGGAAAACACACAATAAATAAATACATAGGAAGAAGAGACAAGTCTCTCATACAGAAGAATTCTCAATAATTTATGTAAATATTGTATTCTCAAGGAGGCAATAGAGAACACCCATCTCTTTTTCCCTCTTCCCCCTTTCCTTTTACCCTCCCCCTTCCTACTAACACTCACTCCTTAAATGCTCATAATGACTTTCTACAGAATGAACAGAGGAATTAAAAGGACTATCCATACAGCTGAAACACCTGATCACCCTACCTAGGCCAGGTACCAAAGTCAACATCAACAGTGGTAAGTCATGTTGACAGTATGCACTCTTGATGTGAGAAGAATGTCACCTTGTCTCTGCTGCTTTCCTCCCCAAAACACAATAATCCCAGTCTTTGAGAAGCACAGGCAAATTCCATTTGAAAAGCATCCTACAAAATACCAAGCCAGTGCTCTTTAAAGCTGTCAAGGTTATCAAAAACAAGGAAAATCTGAGAAAGCATCACAGCCAAGAGGAGGCTAAGGAGACATGATGACTAAATACAGCATGGTATCCTGGACAGGATCCTGAGACAGAGAAGGGACACAAGGTAGGAACGAAGAAAGTGTGAAACTTATTCACGATCACTTATTCGCGGACTTTAGTTAATAGTAACGTATCAGTACTGGTTAATTAATTATGACAACTGTCCCATACTGATGTAATATGTTAACAGGGACCAAACCCAGGGCCTTGTGTAGGCTAGGCAAGTGTTCTACCACTGAACTATATCCCCAGCCCAAAGGAACTATTTTATGTCTAATGTAACCTGTTTTTTGTTTTCTGTGTGCTGGAGATTGAACCCAGGGCCTTGTACATGCTTTCTTGACAATTTTCCAGAGACTAAAGTGACAACAATGAAAAAAGGAAGAAAGCTCTTTCCTTGAGGAGCACATGCAGAATGTGTGCAGAATTTATGTTCCCTGTCACAGTGTCCTGTCTTAGGAAGGATGTCCTAGTGGTATTCCAGTGACAATGTGGCCGCATTACTTCTTGTTAAGCAAGGGGCGAACATGATCCAGGCCATAGCTTAGCAATGAGCAGTGACTAAGAAGAGACTTTGCATACGAAGTGATGGGTGGGGTCCAACTGGCACAGCCAGGGTTTCTAAACTGATACTTCCCAACCCCTGGAAAACGACAGTCACTGGAGCCTGCTAGGCACATGAGTGCCCAGTCACAGAATGTATTGAAGGAAAGTCCCATTCGATTGCTTGGTCTAATTCCTTTTCATAGGACAAGAAACTAAGGCCTAGTGTTCACACAGGTATCTTGGAATCAACTTTTTGAACTTTTTTCTATTTCCAGTGCTGGGGATCAAACCCAGGGACCTCCTGAATGCTAGGCAAGTGCTTTACCCTTCAGCTACACCCCCAGCCTTGACATCATCTTAATTTTCACTCCTCTGTTGTTAGACGTCCCCACAAACTGTAAGGCCAGATGTATATCAACAAAGGAGAAGAATCAGGAAAAGCTAGACGAAGAGCAAACACCAATGTGGATTCACTAACAGATGAATATAATTAATATAATATATAATTATTATAATTATATAATTAATTATAGAAACTTATTACTGCAGGGTAAACACTATATATTTCCTTTTACTTGAAGGCTGCCCATCATAAATGAAACTCAATTATGTTCTGCACTAGGTAAGTAACAGTTTAGAGCAGAGCTTAAGTGGTAGACGGGGTGGGATGGGACTGATACGACTTTTAAAAAGAAAAGACCGACAACAAAAATGGAAAAACTTCAGGGCAACACCAGATTCACACTTAAGTAAAAACCAAATAGAGAGGGAATCTACATAAATTTTAAGAGCTTGCCTGTTTATTTAAGTAATGAGCCAAATATAAGCAGATAGCCGTGCTATTCTTATGAAATTCTTATAGGGTTTTCAGCACCCAGGCTCTCATTTTAGAGGCACTGCATTCCCTTAACAAGGCCAGCTCGATCTGTACAAAGTTCCAAAGAACCAGAGAGCACACTCAGGGAAAATTACCCAGGGCCTGTACATGCTAGGCAAGCGTTCTACCACGGAGTCACACACCACCGGTCCTGAGTTTTCCATCTGTTTGGTTTGTTTTTAAACAACCTTAGGCCAGAAGATGTCTCCATGTTTTGTCAGAGGGAGCACAGTAGGCACGATGAAGGTGGAATTTTAATGAAAAGATAAGGAAAGACAAATGAAAAATTCAAATGATTAGCTTAACATCTAACATTGAGCTAAGTATTACTACCCTGGTCAGCATGTTAGAATCACCTAAAGAACTTTACGAAAATCCTACAGCTCTGGCCCCTTCCCAGGCCAATTCCAGCAGTCTCTGGGGTGCTATCCAGCACCCGCACATTGGACCCAGTTGGAATCAAGTGGTCCATAGAGAGTCTAAATTTTGAATATCAAATACACATCATTAGAGCAGGATAAATCAACCAGGAATCCTAGGAGTACAATATCCTGAAATGTCACCCAATTGAATACAAAACTCTATCATCTTCACAATTTGCCTTTTTCCGTGAAATGTACCCAGATTTGACTTTCCTCTCTTTTCCAAATATTTCCAAAGTAGAGGCACTTGCCTCTTACATCCAGATACTCTTCCTCAATGTAACTAACTGGAGAAGAGAAATCTCATCCCCACTCCTCCGCCCTCCTCAGTTGGCCTTTCCAAAAGAAAAAATAAATAAAGACTAACTTCCCTTAAATGTTTCAAAACAAAATAATTAAAATGACTCTGAATAAACAACCATGAAACTCAATGAGCTATTTCCTTTATTTTTTAATAGTCACAGACTCAGGGTCTATCATGGAAATAGCTGCATACTTTTGCCTGCCAAATCACTCAGTGAAATTACATCACAGGAGGACTGCCTGTGCCTGCCTGCAGGGTTCTGAATAATAGGTACCCCTTTGGCTATTTGGGCACAGCCTGCTGAGCTATGAAGTAGCAGCATTTTTCGAGTGCATGAACTCTTCCTAATTATATAGCATCATGACAATTTGCCCAGCTTAATTGGAGAAGGTTATCCAACCCTGATCAAGGACACTCAATAAACAACAAGGAAAAAGCTTTAATTGTCCTGAAGCTTGAATTTTCTTCCAAGGAAAAATATCAGGAGTGGTAGCCAGTTTACTAGACTTCTAAGAAAAGAGTAACTCTGTACCATGGATGGGACCAAATCTTTAAAGCAACCATGAAAAGAGCATGAAAATTCTCCCAGCCCACAAATGTTATTTTGACCCTTTCCCTGCAGAAGACATTCAGGTAGTAAGAGGAATGAAAGAATACATCCCAATTGCTTGGTGAAAATACTGATTCATTGCAGTCAAAATGGTTGTAAGAGTACTACATCATTTGGCTTCCATGTGATCTTGGTATTTTTGTTTCTCAGTATAAAATGCTAAGGGAATACTGCTCAGCAATACAAAGGAAGAAAGTACTCATACATACTCCAGCATGATGAACCTCAAAAACATACTCAGTGTAAGAGACTCCATAGTGCGTGATTTCATTGATATGAAAGGCAAGTGTATAAGGAGAGATTAGTGATTGTTCAGGAATGGGGATGAGGAAAGGGTTTGACTGCCATTTACCAGGAGGGATCATTTTCAGGTTGACAGGAATGTTCTAAAATGTATTGCAGTGAAGGTTGTACACCTCTGTAAATTTACTAAGAGTCATTGAGATATACCGTCAAAATGAATGAATTCTGTGGCAAATAAACCATAACTAAATTAAGCTGTTTAGGAAAAAAAAAATGATATCACACCAGAAAGTAAGTTAGTGGCTGCCCAGGTCTGGGGTGGTTTCTCAGCTGCCATGTGTGTGCTTTGTGTGTGACTAACGTTCTCTAGGAATTCTGCTCTTTCTCCATGCTCACCTATGAAAAGTTGCTAAAATTGAGGTGGTAGTCATCCCCAAATGTGAGATCCTGTGTGATCACAAGACATCAGGTGTGGGAATTTGGAAAGGCAATCGAGTCTAAATCTTTCCTGATCTAGAACAGAAGACAAATGTAACTACTGCCTGGGGGTCCGGGAGTTTAGCATGGCCCTACCAGTTACAGTAAATGCGCCCAGTGGGGACTCCAGTAGAAAAGAAGTCCGAAGGCCGAATCCCCCTAAAATGACCAGTCACTTGCCAGGTTTTCTAACAAACAGAGAGTTTGCGTTCTCCAAATCCAGGCTGGTTTTCCTTTAGAAGTGGGCACCTGGTGCACGAGAGCACGAACTTGGGAAGTTTTCTCCTTGGGCCTGCTGGTACCCGGTAGCCCTGCAGAGGCCGAGGGGTTCAGGCACGTGGCACCTGAGCTCCTGCGGCGCCGCGATACCGACAGCGAGGGCCGCCAGTCCCGCCGTCGGGAACAGGCGTGGGGATCGTGGCTCCCCAGCCGGGTGGGGGCGACGGAGGCGGGACGGCGAGACCCCGGCGGCCGCACGTCGGGTTACCTTCCTGGCCACAAGGGTCACAGCGCGCTCGTTCCAGAGTTACTCCGACGCTGGGTCCCCAGGGATCCCCGGGACTCTGATCACTCCCCCAGGGACTGACGACGCCACATCCAGGTGGCCGGGGCCCGCGCGGCGGGGGGAGGCGCCTCGCCGGAGGCCGGCAGGGGGCGCGGGCGGAGCTTCCCGGCTGCCGCCCGGTCCCGGGGGACCCGCTCCATCCCACTCCCGCGCTCCTCCCGCGCGCGCCCCGCGCAGTGCTCATGCGCGCAGCCAGCCTTTATAGCGGCCGCGGGAGCCGCGCGTTCCGCACTCGGGCGTAGCGGGCGGATCCCACGCAGGTGCAGCGCCCGGGGCGGCGGGCAGGCGCGCGGGGTCCCTGACGCTCGTCTGTCCCTGTCTCTCCTTTGTCCCTCTCAGCTTGTCCGTCTGTCTGGGTCTTCTCCCACCCGGGTCGGGTTGCACATCATTTCTGGTTCGGGGGCGCTGGCGCGGGAGCAAGTCGTGGGTCCCTCTCCTCCCCTCGCTTAGCCGCCTCTGGGTGGCAAAGGGTTGTATCTCATCTGAGCAGGGGCGCCAGGTGCCGGGACGTGAGGGTCCCGTGCGCCCCCGGGAGCACCCTTCACAGTCTTGCTCCCTGCCAGGTCCGAAAGTCCCTCAGCACCATGTCCGCACCGTGGACCGCAGCTCTTTGCCTCGGTGGGTACGCGTCCCGCACCGCCCCTTCCCCGCGCCGACTCGGGCGCGGCTGAGCCACCCCTCGCGCTTTCCTCTCTCCGCAGGTGTCTGGGGGCTGCTGCTGCCGAAGCCCGCGGCCAGCCAAGGCGCCGGTGAGTCGTGGGCTCTGGGCTCGAGGAAGGACGGCTCGGGCCCGGCGGTCCGAGGGGCTGAGGACCAGAGGTAGAAGTGAGGTTCATTCAGATCGAGCCCCTGGACCTTGGTCACTGGGAGCCGCCGTCCGGCGCACCCGCATTCCTCGCTTCCCGCAACTGCGCTGGCTTACGTCTCTCCCGGGCGGGGGTCCCCTGGGGTGCGATGGGGTCAGATAGGGGTGCTGTTCTCCAGCACAGAGAAGAACGCATGCCCACCACCCCACCAGAGCGCCGGTACCAGCAAAGCCCTGGCAGCTAAGGTCGAGCCCCTGGAGGTTCCGCTGCCTTTGGGATTGGAAAGAAAGAAACCTTCAGACTGTCACAGCTGGGGTGGGGTGGGGGTCGGGTTTACGTTGTCCCACTTGTTTGACCCCCCCCCAGCTGTGTTTCTAGGTGTAACCCCCTTTAAAAAGCAGCATTTGCGGCTCCATTCGCATGCCAGGAAGTCTAAAAAGAGTTTGTACCATGTGTAGACTTCCGAGTATGGGTGTGTGGTTCAGTGTATTGTTTTTCTTGAAAGTAGAAATGAGGGTAAGTATTGCATTTTCTTGCAGTCTTCCTCCTCCCCCCATTCCTCCATAAAGTAAAGTAAGTCAGTGTTAGCAACTAAAGATGGTCTGCACCAAGTTCAAACGGGAGGATTGCGGCTGTTCGTTTATAGCAATGAGGCTCCCGTTTGGAGTCAGGATTTTAACTAAGAAGGAATGGGCACTGTGCCTGGCATTCTCCCTTACTGTCTGTGCACTTGTCCTGTCCACATGGAGCTCGACAGAAAGGGCAGGAGAAGGGTCCTTGTCAGAGGCAACCTACTCAGCTGGGCAATGTGATCAAACAGTATTCCCCTGTCTTGGGGGGAAAAAAAGTTGCTTTTTGAAACATCTGTTTCCAAAACCTTTGGAGAAAAACATTTTCCTATGTTTGGAAAGTGGCATTTAATAACGTTAATCTCAATTTAATTTCAACAGTAAATTGATAAATTAATATTTTGTCTTATGTTGCTAAGGGCTTGTGTCTTTTGTAGTAAAATCTTTACGGTTATTAGGTTAACTATATAAAACTTGAGCATATTAACAATACTTTCTAAAAATATATTCCCTGCCTGACATCACCTTTGGATAGATTTGGAGCAAAAATAATCAGGCTCAATTAAGATAAAAATGCTCCATTTTTACGGGACTAACTTCCCAGTGTCCTGCCTTTTGGGAGTTGTAGAATGTTCCTTGGCAAATGAACCCACTGGTTTTAATTTCCTCTTCTGTAAAATGAACGAGTTAGCTAAATAACATTCTGTGAATCTAAGCATCCTTTTACTGGTTGGCCTGAGTGAACATATGATCTTAAGGTTCTGCCTTTGTAGGATAACTAGTCTAAATGGTCTTGAAGAAAGGACAGTTCAGGGAGATTTTCCCACGTGTCTGTGAAAGTGTTCCACAAAGGTTCAATCCAGATTTACTGTCTTCATCTCAGACAACTAGGTTCACAGTTTCATCAGAGTTAAGATTTTTTTATATTTCTAGAGTGAATAAATGTTTGATGACTAATGTTATTTTCTAGTTCTGAAGTATTTCCAATCTGATTAAGAACTGAGAAAAAGGTGTCACATTAGACTTCCATAGTGACTGGGAACTAGATTAAATTGGAAAGCCAATTTTTGATTTGCTAAAATCCAGAAAAGTGTGCAATTCCACCTACGTAAATCATCATTCTCACTAAAGGTGAAGAAATTAGGGGGGCGGTAACACTTAAATCTCATTCCTGCATTCCCTACAACTACTTCCTAAAATGTCCTGAGTGCTCCCTGCCTTCCCTTCTTTTTCTTCAGTTCCCATTGCGATCACATGCTTTACCAGAGGCCTGGACATCAGGAAAGAGAAAGTAGATGTCCTCTGCCCAGGGGGCTGCCCTCTGGAGGAATTCTCTGTGTTTGGAAACATAGTTTATGCTTCTGTATCCAGCATATGTGGGGCCGCTGTGCACAGGTAAGCCCCAATGACAGGCGGGGAGAAATGCAAGTGTGATTATTTCCTTTCCCACTCTAGCCGTCTGGACCTCCTTCCTCCCTGCTCCCTTTCTTTTGGTGTCAATTTTGGTTATAGAAGATGAACACATTTTTAAGGTTCCCCAGGGAACAGACTGCATTACTTCCTGTGATTCTAAAACATTCCTGTTCATGTCACATATTCTGGAGTTTTTACTGTGTGCCAGCCACTGTTTTAATTTCCATCACAATTCTTAAGGTAGGCATGGTTTTATCCCATTTTACAGATGAAGAAACTGAACCCAGACAGTGGTCAGGTATCTTGCCCAAGGGCACTGTTGTTAGCAAGTTCAATCCAAGAGCATGTAGTTAAATTATTTTAGGAAAATTGGCGGGCACCCCTTTAAGAACGTTGAATCCCTGAGCGGTAGGAAACAGGGCACTACAAGTATACTTTTAGCAACACTTACAAAGTTTGAGAGCACAAAACCATTTCCTCAGACATCTTTTGTTTCTGAGTAAGCAAGTTTTTAAAAAGCTGGCAGCAAGCATCTTTTGATGACTTCCCTGCTGAACTGTATTCTTGAGTAATCAGAGCAACAGAAACAGCATGGTGTGCTAAGTCAGTCGGATGCCCTGAAAGAGTGTGGCTAGTCTCTCAGCCGCTATGCTTGCGTCACAGGGGAGTGATCGACATCTCAGGAGGGCCTGTTCGAGTTTATAGACTACCTGGTCGGGAAAATTATTCCTCAGTGGATGCCAATGGTGTCCAGTCTCAAACGCTTTCCAGATGGTCTGCCTCCTTCACAGTGACTAGTAGGTATAATTTCACTGTTCTCAATTGTGTAGAAATACGGTCCCCACTCTACCTCCTCCCAAAGTTTCCTGCTTTTCTTAGCCCAACCTCTTTGATTCTGATGGTCAAGAGTGAGTTGTGGGATCGAGTTAGGAGGATGGAGGGGCCGGCTACTGCTCAAGCCAGACTTGGGTGAACGGGAGAAGAATGATCTGGCTGTCAGACAACGGAAGTAGAAACCTGAGTCGTCTGCAGTCAGAATGCCCAGGGACTTAACAAACTAACACTAAACTGTGTGAGTGCATTCACTGGTCCTTCCAAACAGAAAGGACCTATTCCTGTTCTTACCTAAGAATCCACTGAGGTTCTCTGAAGCTAACAGGCGCAGGACATTTACACAGGCATTGCTCTATTACACTTATCATTCTGTAGAACCCTAAATTAGATTGATAATGATTTGATAATGGAGAAGGAGAAACAACAGACTTCTCTATTTTAACAGAAGGCAAAAGTAATACCCAGGAAGCCACGGGACGATCAGTGTCCACAGCACATCCACCAACAGGTATGAAACATGGAACCTGTCTCCTACTTGCCTGGTACAGCATTTGGAAGTTATAAATGTGTTGCTGATACAACCTTTCCTTTAAAAATTGATATTAAAGGGTGAGGCTGGCAGAGTGGCTCAAATGGTAGAGTGCTTGCTTAGCAAGCATGAAGCACTGAGTTCAAATCCCAGTACCACTAAAAAAATTATCATTTTTAAAGAGAAATCAAGTAAATATCTTACATTGACTGATACATCACAAACAAAACCACTCAATTTTATATTTCACTTTCCTTCTCCTTATATTTTTTATTATAAACCCTGCTACCAATCACTCTTTGGAAATTGTAAGATTCTGCCCTGATTTAATAGACCATGCTGAGGAACTAGCCAAAGTACCATGTCATAAACTTCTTTCTAGTTCAACTTGCTTAACTAAATTCCTTTACGTACTGTACTATCATGTAAATAAAAGGAATTAGTGTGTGTTTACTGCAGGAAATAGCCAGGAATTCCCTTTCCTAGGATCATGGCCATTTTAAAGTCAAAGGAATTAAGAACACAAGGCTCTGAGTTGGCAGTCCTGCCTCACGTGTGGCTCTAGACTATCAAAGGCACATCAGATATGTGCGCCAGCTCTAATCCTCATCTCGTTCTTTGCTGGGGCATTGCTCCCCCAATCCAGAAAGTCATGAGGAAGCTGACTTTAAAAAAAAAGTCTTTTCAAGAAAGACTTTGACACTCCTTGTCATGAGTTTTTTCCCCTATGGGGGCTTCTCGCTATGAAACTGTCATTTTTTTGCTAATGCCAAATGTTTCCTTCACTTCAGGTAAACGACTAAAGAAAACACCAGAGAAGAAAAGTGGCAATAAAGGTAAGCTGTGCGTTGAGAAAATAGCATTTGCCCTGCCTTCTTTTGAGACAGCTAACAAAGGACTTGTTTGGGTATCCACAGAATGTAAAGCCGACATTGCTTTTCTGATCGATGGCAGCTTTAACATTGGGCAGCGCCGATTTAATTTACAGAAGAATTTTGTTGGGAAAGTGGCTCTAATGCTGGGAATTGGAACAGAAGGACCACACGTGGGCCTTGTTCAAGCCAGGTACCAACTTCATTCATGTGGGAGGTGACTGGTGTATGCAATGAGGACCACTTAATGTGGTGCATTCATTTCAGTTTGATGTAAAACATGTTACACGTTGGACAGGTTGCATTCCCAGACTATAAATTCAGAATTTAAGACTGCCTGAGCAAACACTTGGCTAGTATGTGTGAGGCCCTGGGTTTGATCTCAGTGCTGAAAAGAAAAAAACAAATCCCAAAAGCAAAAAAGACTGCCTGGGCAGTCTGAGTAGGTCTAAGTGCCTTGATTTTGGAATAAAAGGACGTAGAGATGTGTATGCCATCCATATGAGAACCAGGAAGTAGAGTGACAGGTGCTGGTGCTCACAGATCACCTGTCAATCTACTTTGCTTAATTCCCCAGTTCTCCTTTCTGAAGGAAGAAGCAGTGACAAGTCTACTCCTCTTTCCTACTCTCCCATTTTTCTTCTAGCTCTTTCCATTTTCCCTTGTCGTGAGATCTGAGCATGATCCTTTTTTCCATTGATTTAAAAATGATATTTATTGATGGCTTTTAGAATTACAATATTCTCATTATGGAAAACTTGAAATATATGTAGAACACAAACAAGCAAAATTTTCAAACCATGTCCCCCAGGATAATCTTTATAAAAAAGTTTTATTTCCTTTCAGTGTTTTAAGAAAGTATTTGGGTTGGCGGAGTGGCTCAAGTGGTAGAGCACCTGTCTAGCAAGCTTGAGACCCTGAATTCAAACCCCAGTGCCACCAAAAAAAAAAAAAATGAAAACATTTGACTGTACATATGTATTTCTTTTTCAAAAGTTCACTCTATAAAAATGTCTTGGATCCTGTTTTTTCACCCCTTAGTATTCTGAGCATTTTCTCATCACAAATATTCACCAAAAATGATGCTTCGTAGTATTCCTTTGTATGATTATTTAACCGTTATATTGTTTTCTCCCATCCAAGTACTAACAAGGCCCAACCCTGCTTAGTTTATGAGATCAGACGAGGTCGAATGCGCTCAGGGTGGTATGGTACTAAACTGTTGTATTGTTTTTCTCACCATTACATAATCCACTGTGATGACCATCCTTATGTCATCTTTATGCTCATCTCTGATTATTTCATTTGACTAAGTTCCTGGACATGAGGTTATGACATTTTTAGGCATCTGATATAAATAGCTAAACTGCTTTCTAGACAGTTAAGCTAGTTTAAACTACTATCAGCATAGATGTCACATACTACTACAAATACGAATTTGTTTCATTTGTTAGTTTTACAGTTGTCTCTGCTTAGTTTAGATGGAATTTTTTTTTGTGAAAACTGTTGTTTTTTACATAATTTAACCATTTGTCTCTTTCAAAAAAAAAAAACTGAGCTCCTTTCATTGATTTGCTTATAGTATCATTTGTGTACACAACTTTGATTCATATGCTAATCCCTACATCTTTTCTACAGTTCTGATTACCATAACTTTATGGTACATTTTGACATCTCAGGATACCATTCCCCTTTGCTTCTTATACTTTTGGGGTGGGGGGGCTAATTTGACTCAATGCTTCGAAAGGTGAAAGCTGTATTACATGTACTCATACTAGCTTCTTACAAACTTCCAGGCTTATAGTTTTCCTACTTTAGGAAGAACATTAGAATAAACTACGTCAAGAACTTATATTTAAGTAGAAGAACACAATGACCCTCACATCATTAAAGATGAAAAAAAAAAAAGCTTATTCCATAAGTCATAATTTGGATCACTGATGAACAGCAGGTGTGTTGACTCGTACCTGTAATCCCACATACTTGGGAGGCAGAGACTGGGAAAATAAGGCTAGCCCAGGCAAAAATGAGACCCTATCCAAAAAAAAAAAAAAAACTAAAGCAAAAAGGTCTAGGGCATGGCTCAAGTGGTAGAGTGCCTGCCTAGTAAACATGAGGCCCTAAATTCAAACTCTAGTTTTTTTTGTTTTGTTTTGTTTTCAGTACTAAACTTTGAACTCAGAGCCTAACACCTGAGCCACACTTTCAGCAGCCCTTTTTCCTTTAGTTAATTTTTCAGATATTGTCTCTTATTTTTGCCTGGGCTGGCCTTGAACTGCAGTCCTAACTCCACTTCACTCACAGCTGGGATTACCTCATTACTCATAGCTATGGGATGCCACGCCCAGCTTTTCCTTCCTTCTTTCATTTCTTCTGTTTTCCTTCCTTCCTTCCTTCCCTCCCTCCCTCTTTCCCTCCTTCTCTCCTTCCCTCTCTCCCTCCCTTCTTTCTCTTTTTTTGAGATAGGGTCTCACTTTTTGCCAATCTTGATCCTCCTACATCTGCGTCCCAAATAGTTGTAATTACAGGCAAGAGCCACCCATTAAAACCTTTTTTACTTTTTTCAAATACTGGGGTTTGAACTCAGGGCCTATACCTTGAGCTACTCCACCAGTCCACGATAGGTTTTTTCGAGATAGGTCTCATGAACTATATTCCCTGGCTGGCTTTGAACCATGATCCTTCTGATACCTGTCTCCTGAATAGCTGGGATTACAGGTGTGAGCCACTGGCACCCAGCTAAAACTTTTTTTAAAGTATCTAACGTTGCTTATTTATTTTGCTTTTCTAATGCTCCTGGGTAACTTTTTTTTTTTCTTAAATCATAGTGAGCATCCCAAAATAGAATTTTACTTGAAAAACTTTACGTCAGCCAAAGATGTTTTGTTTGCCATAAAGGAAGTAGGTTTCCGAGGAGGTAATTCCAATACAGGTGAGTAGTGTCACCTTGGGATGTAATGTGGTAGAAGGTTATTAGTAATCAGACATGGAAAATGGCATTTTTTTTTTTCTGGTGGGGCTGAGATGTGAACTCAGGGCTTTGCACTTACAAAGTAGGTACTCTGCCACTTGAGCCACACCTCCGGTCCATTTTGCTCTGGTTATTTTGGAGATGGGGGTCTCACAGACTGTTTGCTCAAGCTGGCCTTGAACTTTGATCCTCCCGATCTCAGCCTCTCAAGTAGCTAGGATTACAGGTGTGAGCCACCAGCACCTGGCTGGCATTATGCTATTATTTTCCCCCATCAACTCATAAGCAGTTTTGGCCAATGGAAAATGTACCTAGAGGTTGATAGTTTTTATTTTAAAAAAACTAAAGCACTGTGATTTTAGAATCCTCATATTGGATATCACTTTAGATACCCTATAATCAAAGATAACCCATTTATCTAATGAATACAGCCTCTGAAGAGACTCCTTGTTCCTTAGTGTCACCAGGGAGCAAAAGAGCACATGACGGAAGTAGGAGTTTGTGTTTCTGACTAGTGATCGAAGTAAGGGAATGCTAGGCTTCTGGGAGGTGGAGGGGGAAGGAATGTGGGTTGTGAAGTAAAAAAAGAAACAAGAGGCCTAGAGGATTATTAAACTTTCCTACCTGAAGGATCTATTCTAGAACTGTGTCCCACGTAAGTTAACTTCTTACGCTTAATAGCATCACATTGTTACCAGGAATTAGAGATGTCACTTGAGCCACGGTAAACGGTGCTTGTTTGCTTCTTTTTCAAACCTAGGGAAAGCTCTGAAACATACTGCCCAGAAATTCTTCACAGCAGACACCGGGGTGAGAAAAGGGATCCCCAAAGTGGTGGTGGTGTTTATTGATGGCTGGCCTTCTGATGACATCGAGGAAGCAGGCATTGTGGCCAGAGAGTTTGGGGTCAATGTATTTATAGTTTCTGTGGCCAAGCCAATTCCTGAGGAACTGGGGATGGTTCAGGATGCTGCATTTGTTGATAAGGTAAGGTGGCAAGGGGTGTCTTCTGTTTTGATGGTAGTGACTCAGTTTGGGGGCCTCAAGATTTAATGTTCACATTTTTAAGAAGAAACGACTTTTGATCCTTTTGGATACCTTTGATTTGTATCCCCTCATTAGGCTGTCTGTAGGAATAATGGCTTCTTCTCTTACCACATCCCCAACTGGTTTGGTACCACAAAATATGTAAAGCCTCTAGTGCAGAAGCTGTGCACTCACGAGCAAATGATGTGCAGTAAGACCTGTTACAACTCTGTGAACATCGCCTTCCTCATCGACGGCTCCAGCAGTGTGGGAGACAACAATTTCCGCCTCATGCTGGACTTTGTTTCCAACATAGCCAAGACTTTTGAAATCTCAGACATTGGGGCCAAGATTGCTGCCGTACAGTTCACTTATGATCAGCGCACAGAGTTCAGTTTCACTGACTATAGCACCAAAGAAAATGTCCTAGCTGTCATCGGAAACATTCGCTATATGAGTGGAGGCACAGCCACTGGTGATGCCATTTCCTTCACTGTCAGAAATGTGTTTGGTCCCGTGAGGGACAGCCCCAACAAGAACTTCCTAGTAATCATAACCGATGGGCAGTCCTATGACGACGTCCGAGGCCCCGCTGCGGCTGCACACGATGCAGGTAAGGTCCTTGTCCTTTGTTTGGGAAGGGGACAGAGGAGGGATTCTGTGAACTTTACCAGTCAATGAAAACTTAAGCATTTGTTTTATTGAACAAACACCTGCCATGTGGCAATCATTATTTGAAGAGCTTCACCCAATATTAGCTAATTAAACTGTCCAAGCAAGTCTGCTAATCTCATTCTGCAGAAGGAGACAAACTTCCCCGGTATTCGTTAGCAATTGGCAAAGCAAGGATTGAAGTCCACAAATTCTGGCTTGAGGCCACACTCCTGACCACTGGATTGTTGGGAGTTGCCTTGAGAACTCTGTCATATGTTAAGGACATGAATTACAGGGGCCCATGTTTGGCTTAAGCTTGCGCTACATCCCCCCAAATGACCACGGCTTACCTACCACTTAATCTTTTATTTTTAGGTGGTACTAGGGTTTGAACTCAGGACCTCATGCTTGCTAGGCAGGCACTGTACTGTACCACTTGAGTCACTCTGCTAGCCTTTTTTGTGTTGGGTGTTTTTGAAATAAGGTCTCATGAACTATTTCCCTGGACTGGCTTTGAACCATGATCCTCCTGATCTCTGCCTCCCGATTAGCTAGAATTACAGGCTTGAGCCACTGGCGCAGCTCATTCATCCTGACTTTTCATTTAGTAAAGTTTCCCTCTGGTGTGATAGGTCTCCAATAGAGTTTAATCCTATCTTATCTAAAACCTGTCTTTCCCATTTTTTTCCTTGAGATAATGAACACACACTCTGGAATTTTAAAAGGGTGTGAGAAGGGTTTCTTTCTCCCTCACCCCAACCTTAGTAAATTTTGGAAAAGGTCTAGTTCCTCATCAGCATTGTTGCTGAGGTCAAATAGGTCAATTATATCCCCTTTGGAATATAACAGACTGACTTGGGAGGAGACTGACTTGAAATGCCTTGTATTTGCTACATTATTCTGCACCTAGTTTTCTCTTAGTCCCTAATGACTTAACCTTTTTCCTTTCTATACATAAGGACCTGTCCTAGTGAGGAGACAATAAATGCAATTTTAGCTGTGCATTTGGCTTATAAAAAGTATCTTTTACCCATCAGCACTATACTGTTGAAGACCTTCCTGTCTGCCGTCACTCCTCAAACTTAGCTCATCTTAACTTAAGGTTAGCAGGGTTATTACTTAGTCTAAAGTGAACTACTTCCAAATATATTTTCCCTGTGCTTAAACTTCAGGAGGTTGGACTACGCTGAAAAAATTTCATGAAAATTGTTCCCTATGATAATGAAGTGGAAACCACAAAAACCAGAAAACAAGAGGGTTTTAGGGTTAAGTCACTAGTTTTTTCTTTCTCTGAACTTCAGAGACTACTGAGCCAGAGTTAAACAGTCTAAACTACATAGTAGAACTTAAGTGAGGAGAAACTAAGGAGGAAGAATAATTTTGCTTTTTTTTTTTAATTGGCCAAGGGGTGGTAGTGGGAAGGGATTGGCTAGTGGTACATTAGAAATTGTTTCACGTACCTTTTGCGTTATCTAAATCTGGTTTATAGATAGCATCTTCCCAATTCTGAGTACAGAACTAGAAAGGGAATGAAACCTTGAATAGAGTAACTATTTCAGGTACTCAAAACGTCATGGGGAATTTTACCTAAGCAGAAGATAGCTGGTAGTCTCCACTAAGAACCTGCAAAAGTAGGATCAGGCACAGTGGCTCATGTCTGTTTTCCCATCTACTTAGGAGGTGGAGATCAGGAGGAAAGGTTGGAGTCAGCAGGGTTGTGTGAGGGTAGGGGAGATGAGACCCCATATCAATCCCTAAGTCAGGCATGGTGGCTACTGTCACCTCAGGTGTACAGGAGGCCACAGTTAGGTCTGAGGCCAACCTGGGCAAAAACAAGAAACGTCTGAAAAATGCAAAAAAGGGCTGAGGGCAGGGCTCAAGTAGTAGGGCACCTGCCTAGCAATTGCAAGGCCCTGAGTTTCAACCCCAGACTGCCAAAGAAACCCAAAATAAAACAAAAATCTGATTAAGCCTATGAAAATAAAATCTGTTAAAGAAATGGAAGTAATTTTAGCTTCATAGAACTCTCTTTGGTATTTTTTAACACCAGCTTTTTGCTTTAGGATTAAACACTGGCAATTTCTTATTATTAGACAGTTTGCCAGTATTAACTACAGGGATTGAAATGGAGGAGAAAATTTATACCGAGGACTATTGACCATTCTGAACATAGCCTTTGAAAATGTTCACCATCTGCTTTTGTGCCATTCTTGCTGTAATGGACTGGCTGGGACTCCAATGTAGTGTCCAACTGAGGTTATGACAGCAGGCAGTCCTTTCTCATGCCAACCTCAGAGGGGAATTTTTCACCATTTAACCTGGGATTTAAAAAGAAAAGATACAGTGTAACAACTTAAAGTTTTCTCCTATTCCTACTTTACAAAGTGCATTGTTGAGTGGATACTGAACTTGGGTATTTTTCTGTATCATGATCATGTTAATGAAATTAAACTGGTAGCACAGCTTCTGGTTCTAACCAAATTGTTAAGCCACTCATTGTAATGGCTGTGACAACTGAACAGTTAGCATAGATTTTAGTTCTTCAGAAATTGTTAGTTTTCTCTGCAACTATATATTAATGTATGGAATACATACATATGGATCATTTATATATAAGGGGACCTGTTTTTGATTTTGAAATATTTCCATTATAGGTATCACCATCTTCTCTGTTGGTGTGGCTTGGGCACCTCTGGATGACCTGAAAGATATGGCCTCCAAACCGAAGGAGTCTCATGCTTTCTTCACAAGAGAGTTCACAGGACTAGAACCAATTGTTTCTGATGTCATTAGAGGCATTTGTAGAGATTTCTTAGAATCTCAGCAATAATGGTGATATTGTGACAACTGAAAAGAGTGCAAAGGAATCTAATGTATAAATGTATCCTCACAATACTGAAATACTATATAGCATACTAATGGCAACAGCTATATAAGGCAAATAAGTATTCATTTAGAGCTACTACCTTCTGATTACAATTTAGACTTCAATTATTCAAAACACTTGGTTGAGGCTTCATAATTATGGCCCTTAGAAACTCAGGAAAGACATGGATTCAAAGTTTTGCCTATTAGATGTTTAGATATGCAAAACCATAGATCAATAAAAGGATCTGATACTTAGATCAAAAGCAACATTCCTTCTCCTGATAATTCTGTATTAATTATATAAGGAAAGTGAAAGAAAAATTTGGGAAAACAGTTTTTAACAAAGTTTGAGTATAAATATTTTGACCCAAGATGATGTCTTAAAACCAACCAACAATGTGTAATGGTGGATTATGTGGAAAGTAATCATGTTATCAACCTTCTTTTGTAGTGTATTTTCATAGGTTATGACTGAAAATATCACACAGAGTGGGATTGACTGGTATTTTTCTATTTATATCCTTAATTTTAAACATGTAAGGACTGAGAAATTGTTAGTAAATTTTTTGAAAAAAAAGCATTTCAAGTTTCAAAACTGCAGGAAAAAATATTGTAGTTTGGATATCTGAATAAAACTGCTAGTGATTTAAACTAAGGTGCCTTTTATTATTCTAAGTGTTTCTCCCTAGGAGATGGTAAAATTTCACCATTTACTAATTTATGTGGAAAGACTAATGCAATACTAAGTGTATTTTTTTCAATTTAGTTGCTGGATGCCTATAGTTTTAGGCATTATACACAGGCACTACTACCTGATTAACTATTGTGACATGCTTGTGAGTATGTACTTCAACAAAAACATCTTCTAGTGTTATTTTTACTTAACCATGTTTTTGAGTTGATGCCTAAGGAGAACCTTAGTATGGATTAGCTCACCAGGGCCTCACCCCACAGAGACATGCTCTGTCACCCCATACTGCTGACTTCTCTAAACAGTTCTGTCCCTCTCCTTAACTACTTGTGCATCCTATCCCCTCTTCAAATACACTGGCTCTATCTGAACTGTTCACACCCAGGTGATATAAAAAAGGTGTTACCTAGCTAGAATATAGTCCAATAAATTATATCTAACAATTTTATAGCTCATGCAAACAGGGGGAAAAAAAGAACTATGTAAGGAGAAGCAGAACTTGAATTACCTTCAAAACTATATTTAAAAAAATTGGCTGGGTATCAGTGGCTCACACCTGTAATCTTAACTACTCTGGAGGCAGAGATCAAGGATTTCAGTTTGAAGCTTGCCTGGGCAAAGTTTTAGAGACCCCCATCTCAAAAAAACTCGTAAAAAAAGGGCTGGGGAGTGGCTCAAGTGGTACAACATCTGCTATCAAGCAGGAGGTCCAGAGTTCAAACCCCAGTACTTCCAAAAATAAAAACAAAAAACAAAAACCCTAGAGTTTGAGAACAGTAAGGTCCCTCCTGTTTATAAAAAGCTGCACACTGGATGTGGGCTCAAGTGGTAGAGCACCTCCTTTGTGAACATCTTCTTTGCAAGGGTGAAGCCCTGAATTCAAACGCCAGTCCCACCAAAGGAGGGGATAAAAGAATTTTAACTAACCATCAAAAATGGGTTTTATTAACCTTTTTTCTCCCAACATAGATCACAAATTCTCACCTAGGAGTACCACTCCTTAATAACCCAGCTTCAGTCATTAGGTCTTCTTGAATTGTTGTAAAGGACAAATTTTGAGGCATCTGGGATAATTGGGGACACTCATACTTTTAAGAGCAGAAATAACTTAAAGCTACTACCAATAATTTCTGTATGTAAATATAATCAGGATAAATGGCTGACAACTAAGAGGAGACAGAATAAAATTCTATTATTCTATTATTATTTGGTGATACTGGGGATTGAACCCAAGGCCTCAAATATGCCAGCACACCGTTCTACTTCAAATACAGAACTAGAACAAGATTCTATCTAAAAGGATCTTGTTAACTTTTGCCTGCCCTGACCGTGAATGCTTAATCCTACCACTACCCTGAGTAGCTGGAATTGTAAATGTAGGCCATCACACCTGGCATTTTGTTGTTTTGAGACAGGGTCTCACTATTAGCCCAGACTGGCCTTGGACTATTATGTACCCTAGCCCAGGCAGGTCCTGCCTCAGGTTCCACATTGTTGGGAAAACCAGCATGCACGATCATGCCCAGCTTAAAAAAGATTTTTTTACAAAAATGTATTACAACTCAGCTTCAGCAGGCATGTCTAAATTTCAAATATGCCAGCTCATTTCTAACTTTTAATGCATTAAATGTTATTTTTTTGGTGGATAACAATTTGAAATCATGAGAAAAGTAATGAGAGGTAGAATGATTAAATACTGAGAAAACCCCATCATATTAATTTGTATACAAAAATCCTTAAACCTCATTTACAAAGTCCTGCTTAATAGTCAAATTAATGTTATTTTCCATGAGTTAGTTACAAACAGAAGCACACAAAATGAAAATAAGACATTCCTTTTGCATTTCTTTAGTCTGTTCCAAATGTTTAATACTGTAAAGAAAAATACAAAGTAGGTAAGAAAAAAGTAAACATATACACTAATTTTTACTCATTTCAGTTTTGATATATTCTAAAAGAGGTAAATGTTTATGCATTGCAATGATAAGAACCACATTAAACAGTAATGCAAAGGGTTAGGATAGCTGCTACAAACAATATTAGCTTTGGAAAAACTTATTCTTCAGTCATTTTTAAGAAAGAGAGAAACGTGTCCCGATACCCTGTTTAGTTTGATTTTGTTCACTACTTGAATGCTCAGTTTAGAAAACACCAAAATTTTTTTAAGTTCTGAAATGTCTTAAGTGTTTCATCAACAATAACTGAAATCATCATTTGCAGTTCTTTGTACACACAATGTAACTTTTTTGCAACAGGCATTTAAATAGAACTTTGCATGTGAGTTCTCTAATGTCCTCTTCTAATTCCATTTGCAATTCCCTTCAAAGAAAAAGGATATTACCTAGTTGAATGAAAAAAATTCAAGATATTAATATTTACCCTTATTTATGAGGACAACTTTTAACAAAGAATGCAGTTTATTCTTGGCTATACAATTTTTTGAAAACAAATATGGCTAACTAGGTCAAAACCATCTGAGTAAAACTCAGATTTAATAAAGTTAATAGGATGGTTAAGCAAATTACTTTAAATTCCATCTCTGTACTTTTTAAAGTTACTTTGGATGGCCTAACATATTTTAATAGGAAAAAAAAAATCCCCAAATATGAATAAATACTTTGAAACATATTCTTGATAGTGTTACTGTTCTTTTAGAGTATTAATAAGCAGTATAAAGTATTAAAAAAAAATCATCTCTGTTTCCTAGTTTAGTTGTATAGAGAGCACTGCCCTTTATTATTCAACACAAAATGACGTTAAGCCAACAGTAACATACAGGTTACACAATTTAATATTTATTATATGCATTTTATATACAGTTTTTTTCAACAGCTGTACGTTTGCTTTGTGGTACAATCTTAAAAATTTGTTGATTTATAGTTTGTAAAACAAAAACCTTACAAAACTCATCAAAACTCGCAAACTGATCAGAAAAGGTTTTTGGAAGACTAGAAAAAATACTTTATTGTCTTCATCATGCATTACACAAACAAAATCTTTAGTTACACCATAAAATTAAGCACATCTAAAAAAAATAAAATGGGGAAAATTAGTCCAAACACAGATTTCTGTATCCTGATTCAACTACTTTTGTATCCCATTTATTTGTAATGCAAATAAAATTTTGCTTCAAATATTTTTAAACAAGATAGTTTTGTTTGGAATCATGGTACACCAAGATATAGATCTTGTGCTGGGGGTGTGTGTGGGGGGAACACCTGGGTTTGTAACTTAAACTATAAAATATTCCATTTTTAGTCTATTTTAGACTATACAAAGAGTCCCAAAATAGATATACAGGTTCCTTTAGCACATTAATAAAAGGATATAAAGACCAACAAAAAGTGAAATAAATAATAGGCCATTAGCAAGATGGATAATCCTTGATAAATAAACTTGTAAATACAGTCAGATGTACAAAATATCACATAGTGATAGGATGCCAAGATTAGTTTTTTAAAGAGTTCATTTGGAGTACTAAACTCCACTGTTTCATTTTAATACATTTAATAGTCCTTGGTTCATGAAGACATGTATGTGATGATGAAGATGATTTAGCATCTTTATGGAAGGACTTAGCTGAGCTGTATTAGGCAAAAGAAGGAAAGAAAGTGGTTACAGGTGGCAGGACAGTGAGATCTCTGTGTTTTAGGGTTGTATAATGCAGAAAAACTTCAATACAATCTTGAGCACTGTTGTGACAGGCTAAATATATAAAAAGACTTATAAAAACTAGAATTTTATCCAAACATTTTGTGCAACTAATGCTAAAATATTTTAAGTTAAATTTCTTTTCTTTTTTTTTTTTTAAAGCAAAATAAGTTTAAAAGGGAATCTGTGGCATTCAACTGATAAACATAAGATCACTAGAGATGAACAAGCACTACTTTTGGAGCTCACTTCCCCCACAAGAGCACCACATTCCTAACCCTAAGGCAGCACACAGAGTCAAAACAAAAACAGAAACAAAACAAAAAACCAGGAAGGGGGTGGGGGGAAGAGTTTTTTTTGTAAGATCAGACTCCACATTGGCTTAAAGACACATTAAAAAAAGAAGACATATGCTCAGTTCATATCCAGTACAGGCCACAAATACTGGAGTCCTTTTTCTTTATGTCCCACAAAAAAAGGTAATTACAGTTAAATTAATAAGCCTGACATTAAGATGTGATTTCCACCAATTTATGACTGCCCCAAATAGCCCTCACCAGGCAGATCACATGTAGTGTTTTATCAATAACCTTTTTGATGGCAGTGATGCAGACCCTCTCTCTGTCCAAGCAAATCTTTTTTTCATGATGTGAGCTTTTGTTGATTCACACAAACACTTTGGCAAGGGCATCAGCTCCTGCACTGGCAATATATGCTTTTGATGGGTGGAAAGCAACATCATAAATTGACTCGTCCAATTTTTTCCTATGAGCTGTTATTTCTTGCACACACGTCTTGCTGTCTAAATTCCATAATCTAATTGAGCAGTCATGGCCTGTAAAAGAACAAACAAGGCTTGTTACTGAGTAACAATACTTTACAAAGTTTGTGGGTAGTTACATAAATTCAGACTTACTTCCAGACA